AGTGTCGAATGCTTGCCAGCCACCTGGATAATCGCTTCCTCCAAAAAGCTGCAGAAGACAGCTCTGGGGAAAGGAAGGTCACAAAGACTCTTGCAAAGGCAATGCAGGTGGGATTTGCCTTGCACAGGTAAGAGCTGCAAAGCCTGCCCCCAAATTCCACCTATTGCAAGGCCGTGTAGCACTAATTCTTCTTCCAAAAACTAGTAGGCTCTTCCATCTGTTTTAAAATCAACGCCCTCCTTGTTTTAGCCAAATTCCCCCTGGTTGTAACCGCAGGGGATCTGATGGACAAGTTTCACACTCAGCTCGATGTGCTGACTTTACCCTTTAAACCTCACCCGGGTTCCTCCTCCTCCTCCTCACCGACAGCTGAATTCCAGCTCTTTTTTTTTGCCTCTCCTTGGAAGGCAGCCCGTCTCTTTGACCCTTTCAGCTGCCTTTCTGTTACTCCGTTGTACCCTTCTGCAGACGTACAGACCAGAACTGCACACCAGACGTGAGATGTGGGTGCACCAAGCGCTTACACCATTGCAAAATTACACCATTCATCCCGTCCCTGATGAACACAGTCACTTTTTTGGTTGCTGCTGCATGGTGACGTTTCCCTTTCCACCCTGAAAAGCGACGTTATACCCAGTAGTTTACCTCCGATTATTCGTGTGGCTTTCAATCTCTAAGACAACCTTTCCTCAAACCTTGTAGCAGCTTCATATCTTGGCAAAAGTCTTCTGCAAATCCAAACACACTGCATCCACTTCAACCCCTTTCTTTCCACAGAACCTCACGGGGGTGGCGCAGGAGGATTTCTGTTTTCGGAAGCCTCACTGCCTCTTTCCCAGCAGCAAACATTCATCCCCGGGTTCCTTGTTTCTGACTTTTCCCTTCCTAAAAACTGGTAGTATGACCCTTCAGTGTGTGGTTCCCAGGATCCCCTCCAGAGGCCTTTTTATAGATGGGAATTACGCTGGCAACCACCCCGGTCCTCTGGCACAGTGGCGGTCTGCAGTGATAAACGATACAGCTCGGGCAGCAGCCCTGCAGCTTCACATTCAAGTGCCTCAGGACACTTGGTTGAGTGCCACTCGGCCTTGGTGACTTATCAACAACCCATTTACCTATTTGGTCTAATTTTACTTTTATGTTTCTGACCTACCAGCTAGAAACGGCGTGGATTATACCCCAATGGATGATACAATTTCCATATCCTAATGGATATAAAGAGCAAGGGGTGCAGATCCAAGCACTGCCAGTGCAAGTTTGGGACAGGAGAAATTGAGGACTAAGGCAGGGGTGGCTCCTGGCTGAGGTCCTCCTTGTCGTTGAGGTTGGCTGTCACGGAAAGCAACTTTTGTGCACGCTGCTGTGAGGACACTGGCAGATGTCATGCAGTCAGGGGTGCCAACAACTGCAGCTTTACATGTTTTACCCTGCCTGAAGTACTAAAGCAGTTCTGTTTCTCACTAGCACATCCCTGAAACACCCCAAGCACGGACACAAAGTCAGTGAAGTCCTTTCGGATGAAGCCATGTGGAGCTATCTGCCTGCACAGAGCAGAGATGAAAAGAGTTTCCTTCTTCCTCACCCTCCAATTCCTTGCCACATGTACCTTTCAGAAGCCCATAAACAGTTCTGCCCTCCTCACTACATGTATATAGGTTTTTATCTTCCTTTTGAGTCAATCTCGCTAGCCCCACAGTCATTCCTGTTGCTTTTCCTTAATTTCATCCTACTAAAAATTAACAAGGATCAAAGATGGCAATTGCTTCACGAAAAAGGAAAAATCTCCTCACCCCTCATACCGATTAACAACATCAGACCCAATTTTCAGAAAGATATTTAAGAGTTTTTAAAAATACTTCACCGGCTTATGTGCCAAATCCCAGCAGCGTCCAAGGGAATGGAGCACCCACGCGCTTTCTGGATTCCCACTAGATGCCTACCCAAATCTTTTAGTATGTAATCACACGAAACACTCCACTTTTGTTCTCAAGGTTAGGCACTCAAAGTGCTGCTAAGACTGTCCCTGAATGTTCCCCATGAAACCCACAGGCTACTACCAGAGTTATGCCCCCAGATTACCAAAAAAAATTACCAGATTTTTTTTTGTTGTAGTAGTTCCTTCATGTTCAGCAGATCTCACCAAATACCTGCTGCACAGTTCCTGATTTTTTTTCACCTTGCTTTCATCCTGGCTATGGCACAGTCTCTGTACGTATTTCAGGCCGTTCAGATTTGTGTTTTCCTGTTCACCCTTGGGCCTGCTGCTTCTGTGTTGCCCTTTACACCTGCATGACAGAAGAAAGCACTTCACCTCTCCATCACAGTTGGTTTATTCTCCCTGGGAGCCTTTATGGACAGCTTTTAGGTAGAAGGCGACAGAGGATGTCAGCACCTCGATGAACAAGGCAGGATCATTTGTACAAGAGATGACTCCTGCACTACACCAATTCAGTTATGAACCGAAGGACTGCAAGGTGGAAGGAGCACAGGCCACCATCAGGATTATTTAATAACATCAGTTAAACTGGCAGCAGTATTAGCACCTTAATTTTGTCTTGGATGAAAATTAATGTTTCAGCAGGACACCAACAAGATGTTTGGTCCCAAATGAAAGTTTATGACCTGTTGTAGTAAGCATCCTTTCATTTCTGAATCATCTGATTACTAGAAAGCATATAATGGTCACAAGATACTACGCCGGCAAATGATGGGAAACCCCAAAAACACTCTGCTACACCAAGATGTGCATTTGGAAAGCATTCCCTAAAGCCTGGAAGTCTTTGCTTCACTTTCACTTCACTTTTTCAGCAATCTGGTCTAGAGAAAGGTGTCCCTGCCCATGGCAGGGGATGGAAGTAGATGATCTTGACCCAAAGAGATGATCTTTGGGTCCCTTTCAACCCAAATGGCAGGGATTACAAGCATTGTGCTTCCATGTTAGCATGCCTAAATGTGCTCAGCTGTGAGCACCTTCACCCCCTGATCACAGCCCCCCAAAAAAGCTCAAGCACGCTCCCAGCAGGTGGAGAAGGAACTGTCCTCTCCTTTCATCACACCCTCAGTCTCCAAGACAACGCAGATTCAGAGTTATGCTCCTAATATTCATTTTTAGCTGACCACATCAAAAGGAAAACAGCTGCCAACAGCCACATCCTCACTTTATAGTTTTGTGATGAGATGGGGCGGAGGGGAGGGTTGGTTTCTGGAAAAAAAGAAAAAAAAAGGCAAACACAAGTTTCTAATCTGTTAATCAAGAAGAATGCAAAGTCAACCACAGATTCTTTCCTTCTGAATTTGTAGGGTTAGTTCATTAGAAAATTTAGGATCACGGCTCTTACAGAGAGGCCAAACAGTTTTTACGCTGAAGTTCACACAAGTTAAGCTGTAGGAGCCTTCTACTGCTCACCCCATTGATATCCCAGTGAAAAGAAAAACATTAATAAGAGCCCCACCAGCGAAGTGCATGAATTTACAGGAGAGGAGGATGACAGATCAGACATCACACATGTCAAGGGATTTACCTGTGCCTTAATGAGGTACAGGTGGAACGGATTTTATGATCTCAAGTCTTCAAAAGCAAACACAGCTACACCGCCAGTAGGATGAGATCACCTTGCTGAAGTCACTGCTCCTGGATACTGAGCCAAAATAACAGGGAGGGATCCAGAGAGCAACTGAACATCAGCAGGTACTCAAGACACGCACTGTTATATTAAACGTGAAGCTTGATGACAGAAGTAAGTAGGATGTTAAGAGCACAAAAAAATTGCCTCTTGGATAAAATTGTTTTAATCTCTGTCACCACTATCTCCCGAACCACATAGTGATTTATGCCACATGTCAGCATGTGACCACATTTTTCTGGAGTGACAAAAAAAAAAAAAATAACACCAAAAACCAGCTCTCACAAGCACTGTTGGTGGCTTTTGGACCAAGTCCCAGGATGAATAAGTATTGGATCAGATGGCAGGCAGGGCTCTTGCAGGATGTACCTAGTATGACAAAAGGACCGGTTGCTAAAAAAGCAAGGGGCATCTAAAATAAATCGGATGTTTTTATTTAAGGAAAAAAGAAACCATGATCCTGACAATGCTATGAGCTGCAAGAGATGAAGCAAACTCAGGCTGAGATCATTTCAGCATTAGCGTTTTTTAAACAGACAATAACTTTAAAAGTGGTCATAGCACACAAAAAAAAGGCATTTTTGGTTGGACCAAGAAAATGACTGAACTCTTACAAATACGGCCAGCTCATCATTTCTGAATGTTTGTCTTTTGCAACTCATGGACACATTTCAGGGACACAGAGACCGAATGAAAAAGCTGGCACTTGAAAGTCAACAAAAAGAGCTAATGAGATGTCTGATCTTTAAACCTATACTTGCCTTTTTTTAATTTTTTTTTTTTTTTTTTTTTTTTATTTCTGCTACCCTGACCCTCCAAAACCCGTCTTCATGATGAGTAAATCAGAAACAAGTTTTGGGAGGGGAGGCTGTTACCGCGAGCTGGCAGGATGCTGTTTCAGCAAGTACCACTTCCATGTGAAAGCCCGAAGTCCTACTATGACAGTGCAGTGAGTCACCGAAGAATTTAGACACTGCTTAATGCTAAAAATTGACACTGTTTTGCTTTGTCTAACTGGAGGAAGTGCCTTTATTGAACCTAGAATTCAAACGCTGCCTATGACCGTCTGCCTCCCTTTAAAGGCAGCCTACACAGAATATAACGCTTGTCTTCTTCTTGCTGGCTTCCAGAAAAGCCTTGGAGGAATCTCAGCCTTTTTTTTTTTGCTTTTTTCTTCTTGAAGAAAAAGCCATTCCCTCAGCCCTTCCAAATGAAATCCCCTCATTGAGAGATTTCCAAGTGTCCCATCAGCAAAATTGCCTTCGTGATAGAGGAACTCAATGAGCTTAAGGTTTCGTCCCCCTGTCCAACCTTTATCCCCCTCCCAAGCCCTGCAAGCAGCTGCTTCTTATTGGGGTGGAAGACAAAGCACACTACCTCCCTACTGCTCATCTGCGTGTGATCAGCATCTTCAGGACCGCAGATGTTTTAGGGCTCCATCTCTCATCAGTCTCGACGATGGCGAGGGAAAGCAAAGATCGACAGGAGACGAACAAGGTTACTGTAGGAAGGGAGAAGGGAAAAAAAAAAAAGAAAAGACAGGCTTTAAGAGATACCGTTAAGGAATAGAAACAGAGGGTGGAAAAAAAAAAAATCAAACATACAGAAGGAATGCAAAAGTTAGTTCCCACGTACACAGCGAGTTACATTTAATAGGATTGCCAGTGCTCCCAGATATGAAAGGAGAGACAGCAGCCCAACACTGCCAGGCTACAGCTTCATCAAGATACAGCATCAATTTTGCTCATCTGAATGTCTTCAAAATCTTGTTTAGACAGCATGAACATGAGCAAGGGAGCTAGGGATTAAAGCCAGACAGGAAAAGTAGTTCTGTTCCCATCCTTTCATTCCTTTTGGCACTGGTTTAATAGTGGAGGAGACTTCTGCTGCTTCTTGTGAGTTTCGTTCAGCCTTTTTAATTATTATCTCTGCTATCGAGAGAGTCAAAAATTGCATAGGAGAAGAATTTGTAAGGTAGGAGACTGCAATTTTTACCTGTCACCTTAATACCAAGGCATGTCGGCTGATGCAACGATGAGAAATTCGATGAGCCAGAAATTAGAAAAGATGTTTTTTTATGAGATCAATGTCACTGTGATACAACTGCTATCACTGGTGCTGCAGTTCAACCCCTCCTTCATCCCTTCCCAACTTCTCTGGCTTTCTGTAAGGCTACCCAGGGAAGATTTTGGTGATTGTGCAGGACTCATTTATACTAAGCTGGTGTTAAGATGCTCTAGACGCCCTCACTTTCCCACCCAAAATTAGGAACTGGAGGCTCAGCCTTGCTTCAATCTCATTATTTAAGTCTTCGAGGCACATTTGGCTCGATTTCTGACATTTTTCTCTCCGGATAGGAGTGGGAGAAGTCTCCTTTGTGTGACACAGATTTTTGCATAGCTTTCTCATCCCCAGAAGCTTGGAGCTGAACAGGACGACCAAACACCTTACCACACCCCCACAACATGCATGCATTTTTACCAAAGAACCTCGGCACTTTGATTATCAGAAAAGCAAATGGTTATTAAAAAAAAGGGTTATGGAGCATGATCACCAGCCATTTCCAGGCTGCCCCCTTTTAGCTCAGCTCCCAAAGCCTTCCCGTTATCATCTGGTGCAATGCCACGGAAGCAAGGCTGAAATTGAACTCGCATCTTATTCCCAATTGTGTTGACCGAAGACAACACAACAGCAAGGCCAAACGGGGATGTGAGCTCTAAGTTGTGGTTAGCATTTTGTGGTTTCAACAGGAAAGTTAGCTCCCCCGGGCAGTCCAGCAAGACAATCGAATCAAACATTTGTGGGAAAAAAAAATTAGCGGTGACCACATCCATTAAAAGTGCCGTTCGGTACAGACCTCAGAGAAAATGTACTAAATAATCACTCCAGGGTCTTCATTTCATGTCTTCATCTTCCTCCACCCCACTCCTGCACGGAAACCCAGTGTTCCTACCGCAATTCCTCATTTCAGCAAAAAGTGCCAAGAGCCAAGTGCTTCAACCCATCTCCAGGAAATCCTTTATTAGAGAGATTATTTGAACAAAGCACGATACCGAGTAAAAACAAAACCAGAGACTGACATTGGAAATTAAGCCTAAAGTCATTTAAACTTCCACAAGAGCAACAAATCCGTAGCCTGAAAACTACATTTCTGCGTTATAACAGATATATATTTCTGAATAATAAAGAAAAATGTCACGCTTCCTTTTTATGAGCTAACATTCCCTTTCCCAAACTTGTTTCTTGAGTTCCTGAGCTTAAGTTTCCCTCGATATGCTTTGTTTTTAAATAGATTTGTCTGATTTTCTAAAACGAAATTGAATATCTGCCTTTTGACCTTAACTATAGAGTCATTATTTCAGTGATACACTTTATTACTCACTCCCAATTTAAACAACTTTTAGCCAGTACATACTATGACTAAGTCTTCCAGTTTATTTAAAACAATGGTCTACTAAAAAAAAAAAAACATTTTACTAAATAAAACGCAGGCAAACCCGGGCTACAACAAGAGTTAACACATTCTGTGGTTAGCAAAGGAAACGATGCTAAAATTTGCCTTGAGTGAGGTGTTCCTGAAAGGATAAGGACATGGAAATTGTTCTATTTCCAGAAGAACTGCAAAATGTAATGGATGTTTTATAATTGAGTGTCTTATTAATTTTAATGAACTAATAAATATTGCATTTCAAATTCTTATGTGCCCATTGGCTGCTCATTCCTTTTTGTGCTATGTACTCCCTGGTCTTTGCAGCTGTTCAATTCACCTTTTATTGCGAAGGAACGTCTGAGTTCAGACTCAGGTGAGCAGTTTAATGAACTAGAATAAGCAAGGGATACATTACAAGCCTGGCTTCATTTTTTTTCCCTTCTAACTCAACAGAGAGAGTTACAGAGCTCAGCAATGGCCCCAAACACATGCGACAAAGGAACAGGGCCTTGAGCTGAAACAAACCCAGTAGCTTCGGTAGCACAGACTGGATTTACTGGGACAAAAGGATCTACTCTTCCCTGCTTGCTGGTGGAGAAAACCAGTTTATCCTTCATCCCAAACAAATCTGAATTACGGGCACGCACGAAGTCTACACTTGGCTCTGACGTAGCTTCTCCAAAGGAAGACTGAAGTAAGACATTCTTGAAATACCTACTAAAGGTAAACGATAGATTCATCCTGGCATAAAGCCTTGAAATTAAACTTGCTGATGAAACTGCAGAACGTTCACTTACAGATAGCTGGGAAAATAAACCCCATTTTTACAAAAAGAATCATTTTCCCAAGCAGCTTGAGTCAAGTGGCCAAGAGACTTCATATCTTAAGATCAGCAGAGAATGTAATGTGCTAGTGCAGAAAAATATATTGGAAATTCTTTATGCTAAAGAAACAATAATGTATTTCATGTTATACAAAGCTTTCTGTGGGTAAACGAGGAGAAAGAACATTTGCAGCAAGACACCAGTTCAAGGGAAAGATATTTCTCACTCCAGCTCCTGTTTCGTGAATACGATGTAAGCCCTAAGAAACGTGCTCCATCAAAAGAGCCACCATATAAAATACTTTTGTGAAATTTACAGTCATTACAAGAACTGACAGCTCAAGGCCCTACTCACAGAAAGTAACTCCAAGGTAGTGCTGTTACTCCTTCAGAAGGAGTAAGGACTTTACATCACCTGGGAACTGTGGACAGTACATACATCAAGCTCATACGAGCAGGAGGCAACGCTTTAGGGTAAACCCAGGCGACTCTCCTTGACCCCAAAACTGCACACAATATGAATAGGAATTATTTTCCTCCCCCATTATCCATTTAGGTTACACGTATGAACTAATTTCATGGAAAAAGAAGAGAACAAAACACAAAACGCTTGTACACAACATGGATTTGCCACTTGACTTGCTCGCAGTCCATAGCTAAAGGCCAAGATCAAGGAGATGTTTGCAGCTCTATGTCATATAATTCAAGGTAGGCACGATTTATCACAGTGCCATGCCTCTTATACTTTAATCAGGATCACAAAGGACTATTGTAGGAAGAATTATTTCCTTTTCAGAAAGTACACCTGTGTACTGCTTCGGCAATCTTCTGAATTGGTCTTTTTTTCCCCAAATAGGACTTCAATTCTATCCCACCAGCAATTTTTTTCTCTTTTTTTTTTTCCATCACCTGAGATGCTAAATGAACACGCCATTTCCAACTTCGTGACTTCAGTGCTGCCAGACTAGATGTAGGAAGAAGAGTGACTTTAAGGTGGTAATACTGGTGGTAAGGGTGAAATCAACTGGCTTTATAGCAGGTCCAAAGAGCACGGATGGCAAGATGGAACGAAAGCATGGAAGTACAGTTATTGTTTAACCTGTGTCTAAGACGAGATGAAAGAGATAGAGAATGGCCATCACTGGTTATATGACAGGAAGCCAGAACACAAGGACTGCCAGTTTAAACAGCTCTTCCACAGCCCAGACACTTTACCAGAAGTATATTGGTACGTACACCAGACCTCCATACTTCCACTGTTTCATCAAATTCCCCTGGAAACGCACTTAATCGGATGGCTTTTTTTTGGTTTCCCCTTGCCCAGCCGAAGCAAACAATTGCTAAAAGGAAGGGGGACTCAGGGAGGCTGTGAGAATCCAGTGCTTTCGCCAAAGGGTTTGGTTCATCCCCAAATTGAGATGGGTAGGAGAAAATCCCCCAAGCTACCTGCCTCACACACTGCAGCAGGCAACGAGTACAACGAGCCATCAGCATTTTTTAGAGTGCAACTCTCTGACCTATTTTAAGACGCCTACTGGAGGATGAGACATAGCGTGTCCTAAAAGGGCCTTTTTCCTTTCTGCGGATGATACAGAGAGCTCGGAGCAGCGATACTGCCATCAAGGGACTCCCACGAAGGGTCCCCAAACGGTGACATTCAGCCGAAAAGGAGCCAGGAGAACAGCACAGAATAGAAAATCACAGCATGGCAGGACCCAGGCTGCATCTACGGCTCCGAAGATGTGCCCAGGGAAGGAGAGGACAAAAATAAAGCATCCTCCCCTTACACAAAGCCAGGAGGCCCTGTCGCCAGCGCTGCCCCTCGCAGCCCCAGTGTCCACATCTACGCGTGCCACACGCAGCCGCAGCCAAGCTCAGGAATACAAAAGGGCATAGGAAAAGCAGCCCAAATGATTTTCTCCATACAAGCAAGTGCCAACACAAGCAGAACAGTTATCTACATTCTCCCCAATTCCTTCACAGGCCAAATATGCGAGCCCAGCTCCTCGCCCAGCACACAAGAAGGGCTCTCAGACAGCGCAAATCTGGCACACAACATTCTTTCGCCTTCCCACAGAGGTTAAAAAGCCAACGAGAGATATCCTTCTATGTGTCAAAGGGCTAAATACTGACTAAGGTTTAAAGAAATACGTGTTTTCTTTATAGATGCTCAGCCTCGGCCCGTTCCTTGCGCCTCCTCACGAGGAGGGGTTGTTTTGCAGGCTCTTTGCAAAGTGCACTTGCTTCTCTTATCAGCTGTGGTTGACAGGATGAACTGCAAACCCCGCTCACTTGAAGGGTGGAGCTCGGGATCCAGCATTTTGCTGCTGAGAACAGCCTGCTTCAACCCCAGGTGGTTCTGCACACCCTTAAAATATAAAGAAACTGGGCCGTAACAGCTGCGGTTCTGAAATTACGTGAGTTCCCACACCTAGGAAGTGAGACAAGGTGCAGAAAAGAGAGAAAGAAGCCACGCCAAAGATCACTCATATGCAAAGTTTAAAAAAAAATAATCTAGATAGCAAACTGGGTGAAATTCATGCTTTTGTAGTCAAAGCTGAGAAATCTCTGCACAGACCTGGAAGAGGATCCACGAGAATCAGAAGAAATCAAAGAGTTTTTTTAAACTTTTAGGCAAAAAAAAAGAAAAGTTAGCATTTTCAGTCTACGGCAAACAAGGCAGTCAAAACCACAATCAACAAGAAATGTATTTTCACTCGTGGAAGTTACACATGGGTTGTTCCACGTTTCTCCTAATACCCCCAGTGATGAAGATTGTGAGCCGAAAGCCTCACGATTCCTCCCCATTTTTTCGGAGCAACATCCAGCACACACAGTACTCAAAGATTTCTCATCGTCATGCTACAAAAGAGCATTTTCCTCTTCAATTTTACTCTTGGCTTTCCCTTCCCAGTCCACAAACAGTAGTTATATCACCTCCTTTGACACAGCCTCTCCCCACAGGGCTCGGGAAGGCTGAATACCCACCTGGCTTAAGAGTTTCTCACCCTAAACTTATCTGCCCCGTGTAACACAGCTGGAGAACAAGAGACAGGGGCAATCCCCAGCTTAACAAATTCAGCGTTCGGCCACATTTAAGTTCCCTCCGTGCTGCCTGTTCTCCCTGGAGAGACAAGCTCGCCCTCTCTGACTAATCCACAGAAAACGCAGAGGGAAAAATTCATTTCCAAGCGGACACCCGCTCGAATTGTTCCACCAGGAGGAGTTTTTGCCAGCTTTATCCTAAAAAACCGCGAGCGAGACCCCCCGTTAAAGGATGTCGGGGCAGTCCAGCACCAGGAAACTCCAGGAATGGGGCCGGAGGAGGCAATTTGGCGAGAGGCGGCCGTGAGTCACTGTGCAAAGAGTGAAACTGCGAGCAAAGAGAACAAACACCCTTCCGCCCGTGCCCGGCACGGCCGTTTCACCCTGCTGCCATGCCTTGCTTTCGCTTTAAAAAGCTTGGCTGCACATCTTTTCCACTTGCTCTTGATATAATGTGTAATAGGGACAGACACGCGGCGTACCTAATAACCCCATAAAGTGCAGACTTCAAGCCCCCAGCACGGGGAGAGGTCCTGATGTCTTTTTATTAGTGAATCTTGCTCCTGCAGAAGAAGAACTGGAGGTGAGGGGTGAAGAAATGAGGCAGAAATGCTCAGCAGGGGCCAACGCACCACGGCACGCAGAGGGATGGAGGCAGCTCTCCCCGTTTTTTGGGGTCACTCAACCCCACCAAGAAAAGCAGAGAGAACGGGGGTTTTGCAGGCGGAGAGCTGGGGATTTGGGGCTTTTCTGTGCATGGGGAAGGGAGGAGAGTTGCAGCCCCAGGAGCTCGTCCTTGGGGCTCTCTGAGAGCACCCAGAGGTGGCACCCATCCCGCAGGGTCCCTCCTGTCCCGCTCATGGACAGGAGCCCCGAGCGGGGTGCTGGAGACCTCATTAAGGTCCCGTCCAGTGGGATTTACACCCCGATCCCAAGCCCAGCTTGGCTTTTAAGGTCTTTAATGGCAAAAAGCCACGACCTCAGACACGCACGTGGAGTGGGGTGGGGGGAATGAGGCCAGACACGCTCCCACCTCCCCATCCCTGTGCACCAGCCACCCCAAAAACACCCCAAAGGGGCTGTGTCCCCCCATGGGTTCAGCTCCTCGCCTCTTTGGGCAAACCCCAGGGCTGAACCCCGAGCTCCCTCTCCCCAATCCTCTGCCCCAAACACCCCAAAATAAATAAATAAAATAAATAAATAAATAAAAACCCTGCACAACCCGGGGCTGGAGCCAAATCCCTTTGTTAAACAACCGAGCCGGGGAGGCAGGAGGGAGCCGGGCTGTGGGGAAAGGGGGGGGGGGCGCCCCTTTCCTAATAAAAAAAAAAATAAGAAAAAAAGAAAAAACAAGGGAAGAAGAGGAAGAAACAAATAAAAAGCCCTTCTCTCGACCCTTCCCGGGTGGGAAAGGGAGGAGAGGACTCACCTCCTGCCCGCTGCAAGGTGCCGCCGCCCGGCCCCGCTCCGCTGCGCTCCCCACGCCGCCCTCCGGCCGCCCCAGCGCCGCCTCCCTTCGCCCTCCCCGCCTTTGTCCCTGCCTCTGGCTCCGGGAGAGGGGTCCCCGCCCCATTAACACCCCCCTAAAATCTCCCTAACACCCTCCCCCTACAACCAAGGTGGGCTGGAGGGGCTGGGGGAGAGGCGGGGTCCCCTTATTCACACACACCCCATTCATTCCTCCTCCCCATTCATTCCTCCTCCCCGCCCCCCCAACAACAACCCAGGATAAAAAGTTGCTTTTTGTATTATTTTTATATATTTACCACCCCCCTACCTCCAAGATTGGCTGCCGGAGCTGGAGAGAGGCAAGGTCCCCCCATTTCCCCTCCCCATTCATCCCCTCACCCCCATTCCTTCCTCCCCCCATTCATTCTCCCCACCCCCAGAAAACCCAGGTGAAAAGTTTTTTTGTTTGTTTGTTTGTTTTTATATTATTTTTATATATTTACCACCCCCTTACCTCCAAGGTGGGCTGCTGGGGCTGGGGGAGAGGCAGGATCCCCCCCATTCCCTCCCCCTATTCATCCCCCATTCATTCCCTCCCCCCCAGCAGTGAAAAGTTGTGGTTTTTTGTGTGTGCTTTATTATTATTTATTTTCCTGTTTTATTTCTTATTTATTTATTTATTTATTGGGGGGCAGGGAGGCATGTTCCCAGCATAGCTTCACCCCTAGAAGAAATCTTTGGGGCTGTAATCCAGCCTTGGTGCAAAGCTGGCTGCCCAGCAGCTTTATGGGGTGAAGGAGGGAGAGCGGGGTTGGCCTTAATTATTTATTATGGTTGGCTGTAATTATTTATTATGGTTGGCCATAATAAATCGTTCCTGGGCATCTCAGCAGCGTGGCAGCCCGGCAGGGAGCAGGTCACCAGGCAGGGCTGACTCAATTCCTGCGATTCCTATCGCACCTGTACCATCGCCGAGCTGGCTCCATCGTGCGAGGGAGTGCATGTGCCTGGGGATCCAAAAAAAAGAGAGAAGGAAAAATGGGCTCTGCTCTGCTCCTGGGCTGCACGAGGTGAGATTTGTGTACCTTATAATTCAGGGATATAATCTCACTGGAAACTTGTCACCTTACTTAATAGAAGAGTTTTCTGCTCGGTGCTCGTGACGAAGAAGAGGAGGGATTTGATGGCACGGACGTTCACGGGCTGCCTGCTCAGAACCTACTGTCTAGACGTACAGGCATAAAATGTTTAGTGAAGCAGGTAAATATGGGCAAAAGGGAGGCAAATAACACAGGTCACCACGTCTGCCCTGCCTTTGCACCCATACGACAGCGCTGCCACGGTCTTGCCCTTCCCCCTCATACCAACAGTTATCAGTTCCCCTGATAAGTTTGTCCAGGAACTAAAGCAGCAGAAAATGAATCCCACAGAAAAAAAAAATAAATAAACAAATAGAGGAAGCGAGAACGAAAGGCCAGGGCTGGCAGGAAAGGCTGGGCTGGCAGGGAAGGTTGGGCTTGCAGCAGAGCTGATTTCAATGAGCTTAACCTGTCGTGGGACGGCACGCTCGGAATTACTTCCTCTGCTGGATAGATTTAAAAATTGATTTGAAACCATTCAGACTGCATGAGCTCACTTGAAGCAGGGTCTGCACGTAGGCTTTCACCTGGACACGAGGCCAAGGTGTTTAATCAGCACAGGGCAGTGTATCGGTGCCTTCCTTCACAGGCAGCCACCATCAGCCTTATCAAGAAATCCTCGTCAGAGCTGGAGTTGGAACTGAAGACAATTACCTTTCTGTCCTGTGCCGAGATCTGACAAGCAACTTCCTCCTGTACCGTACTTTAGATCACGAAGCCTCCTAAGGAGTGGGGATGCACCCTGATAATTAAAAAATAATAATAGATTTTGAAGCCAGGCAAGAGATTGGCCCAAAGAGCTCATAAAATGCATTCTTTGCAAGATATTTTACCAAATGCGTTTAGTCAACTGCTTAACAATAAAACGGAGAATGGTGGCGTAAGGTTAATTGCAGTGGTTGACTTAAGGGCTGGCCCACGTACAGCTGGTTTATATCTGTATAAACCCTGTTATGGTGGTTTCAATATCTGTATAAAGGTACTTACAGCAGCACAAAATAACCAGGAGGATGTTGTACTGTAATTATAGGTGTTTTAAAGCCACTTAGAGCTGAGGAAAGGCTTTATCTATGCACAGGTTAACTCGATTCAGAAATCATTTCAATTAAATCTTTCCATATTCACTGCCAAGGGGTTTCAGCAAAACATTCAGGACTGTATTCTTACATTTTATTATCCTACCCTATAGTACTGAGGAATCCTAAAGAGTTATCTTGAAAGTGTATCCTGGGATATACCTTTCTGAATTATCCCAAATTTCAAAACTCCTTTGTCCGAAACTATTGCTGGATATTTCAGAGGAGATTCCCAAACATATGGAAGGAGAGGTGTTTGGGATTTCCATGCCACAATATCAGAATGGGGTATGGAGCTACTGCTGCAAACCAGAATTTGGTACTTGAGACAGGAATAAGTGAAATTCAGATTCTTTTATTTGTGTTCTGAGTACTCAGGGCAGAGAAAAGGCTCAGAAGAGGTTTGGGGAAGTGATTCATCTTGCCTTGTACTCAGGATAAATTCAGGCGGCCCATTTTCGATATGAGGGGGGATGGGGTTTTCTTACACCTCAAAAGGGTCTCTGGTGTTCTGTGGGAAGAACCTTGGCACCAGGCCCCAGCCGCAAAGACCAACTCTGTTAAGCAATCGATTTTACAGCGATCATATCAGAACTGCATTTCCCTCCCTTTCGATGTACAGCAGAGCGAGCAGCCTGGCTTCTGGAGCTCATAGCCTGACGATTTATTCCTTGTCAGCAATACCAGCACTGATAGTTCTTACTCTGCTGTGCATCTCTGCTCCTAAGCTACTCCCTGCGTTGTGCCAGCATGGCTAATTGTGCACTTGGGAGGGCTTGGGGCACTTGGCCACCTCCGATTTTTACTGTGTGTATTTCATCAGGATCAAATCCCCAAGTCTTGGCTGAAATGATGCACAGGGAAGATGTAAAATCACAGAAGCTGAAGGGTAGCTGGTGAACAGCAAGTTGTTAGGATGCACCAATTTAGTCACCTGCCATCATCTGTCCACTCCTTCAACCTACACGAGCAATTATGGACAAGTTGGCCTCAGCCTACAAGGAAGCAGCCAGAGTTCATGAAAGCCTCGAAGAATTATCAAAAATATCTAAAGAAAACTTCTAAGGCTTTGTAGTCAGACAAGGATCAGAAAAAAAGAAGAAAAAAGGAGTCCTATAATCATACATAAACAAAGTTCCTCAGCCAAACTGCCCACCACCAAGATGAAGAAGCAGCAAGTAATGGCAAGCAAAACTGGAGGTGACAGTGGGTCGGGATACCACCTATCGCCTGGAGGTTTCTCACCCAGTAAATTAGAAGGAAATCCAGCAAAATAATGTTGTTACGGCGGTGTGAAGTGATGAAGAAGACAGACTATGATTCATCACTGCCCTATGTATCATGTGTGCTTGTCCAGCTCTGCAAAGCACTTCAGAATCAGAACCATTTCCTTTTCATTCCGCTTTGGCCAGATAACACGGTGAACTGAAGCAGTGGAAAATGTGTTTCTGGATGCAAACTTGCGATGCTCAAACCAAGTGTTTTTTCTGAATGAAAGCCTAAAAGCACATCAGCATGCACAGTAGCAGCAATCTTTCATTTCCTCCATGTTAGGGTGTGTCCAATGCCAGAAAGGCCAAGTAGCAAAGTAACAAAAGGGCTGGACCACTTGACTGGAAGAGAGCAGCAATACATGGTTACTCTCTTACCTGTCCTGATGGTAGATGGTGTGCCACAGCCATCACAAAGAAAGGCAGTGGCAGCTCTGAAATGGATGGAAGTAGCATGTTACATCTCGTGCTGATTTAACATGGACATGCATTTCTTACCATCCTGGAGAAACACTTAAACCTTGGTCAGCTTATGTCGAGGGATCCACCCCAAATTCAGTTTTTCCTTTCTTGGTTGAGTTGCCCTATAGCTGGTTGAAAACTCAGAGGCATCTTTATGCCATTCCAACTTTAAATCATCTCTTACCGCTTCATTGAAGGCCTGGAATCCAGCAAAACCTCTGGTGATGAATACTTTTACATTCCAGATCTCCTTTAGCCAGGAAATTGCACAGTGACAGCTAAGAGCACTCAGTGCTTCGGTGAGCAGTCAGCAAGTCAGGATGCATACTAGGGCAGCCACAAGTGACTCGTTGATTCTGGAAGCCTTATGTATCTCTGGAAGTCATAAAATACAGATGGGTAATGGCTTAACAATGAGGTCAGGCTTTGATTCATTAGCTAACAGTGGAATCTAAGTGCATTTATCGCAGTTTTGAGGCATGCTGCTAATTCAAGCTTAAAGAGATGGGGGGAGTTCTGCCCTGCACTGTAAGTTTCTGTGGAGCTGTACATGTTCCTGACTTAGGCTTTGTGTGTTTTCCTGGTGATCTGAAGAGTTTTATTTCTTGAAAACTTACCTCTAGCCATTTGTAACCTTAAACAAAAAACATATTCAAATGCCTCAGCTTTCTCCCCAGCCCCCCTGTAAGTTTTGAACACACTGGGTCAGGAGCTGTGCTAATTCACACCAGGAGCTGACCATTTACATTTTGATCCCACAGCGGGCGAGGATCTGCAGAGAGAAATGAATGCTAGGATAAGAAAACCTGCTTTCAGATATTAAAACCAGCACCAGCCTGTCATCCACCTCATGTTCAAAAGCCCTTTTCTTTCCTGCTCCCACCCAGCCAACCTAAGGTAGGCATATGCTAAGTCTGAACTCTCCCTTAGTGCTCAGTGGACTCCATCTGGACTAGAAATCATGAGAGCAACTCTGATTTGTGAAATCCATTCATTCCAGCAGCCCTTCAGACGAGGAACAAGGTACTCACGGAGAGCCAGGGGGGCTCCGCTGGGAGGCTGGCAGAAGTGAGGAGAGGGCAACAGGGGAAGCTCGTACATCCTGCTCATTCACTTGGGTCTTTGGAGCATGAAGGAACTTGCTGACAGCGCAGGAAGCACGGAAAGTAGCGTGGTAGA